TTGGGGGAATTGGGTACTGCAGGCCACTTCAGGTGACTGTTACCTGCAGTTCGGCGGTTCAAATCTCACCGGCTCAAGGTTGACTCAGCCTTCCATCCTTCTGAGGTGGGTGAAATGAGGACCCAGACTGTGGGGGCAATATGCTAACTGTAAACCGCTTAGAGAGGGCTGAAAGCCCTATGAAGCGGTATATAAGTCTAACTGCTATTGCTATTGCTATTGGTCACCCAGTCCTTCTCATTGACCTCTAATAATGATAGGCAAACCGAGAAAGGATAGGTGAAGCTCTTTCAATGTTTGCCATTCAATCTTTTTGCAGAAAGAACTTTAATGTTGCCAGAAAGAACTTTCCCTTTTTATGTAAAGAACCCCCCCCCCCCCCCGAACTGATTCCTTTTGTTCTTTGGCCATGCTCATGACCATGTTTTATAGTTCCTGGAGGCTCCGATGGTCCGAGTGGGGTACTGATTTGCTCTGAAAACTACATTACCTACAAAAACTTTGGTGACCAGCCAGATATTCGATGTCCAATTCCCAGGAGGAGGGTAAGTATCTTGTGATCTTTACTCTTCTGAAAACATTATTTCCTCAGTACCTAAAAAAACCCATCCCAATGTATTAGACCTCATTTCTGCCGTCCTTGGAGGAAAAGGAGAATGGTAGGAAATAGTGAGGAAAAACATAAAATCTCAGTGCAAGCCCTGAAATAGTTAGATTTAAAAAATAAATAAAATAAAAGCTCCAGATTTCTCCCCAAACAAGGAAAAATATAGAAAATCTTGGCCTTGATAATTGCATCATTGACAACTGTCCTTTGAGTCTTTATCATGCTCAGGGGTGTTGAATCTCTCAAATCTCCCTGTAAGGATGACCAAGGCTTGGATAAAGAGAACCGGAAAGCTACCTATGAAGCTGTCCAGCTGGAGAACAAGGAAGAGAGCCTTGTTGCATTTGCTCTCTTTGGGGAGCCTAGAGGGGTCACGCCTTTTAGGACCTCCAAAGAGAATGGAGAAGGTGCTTGACTTCCTCAAGGACAGTCCCTAGTCCTTTTTCATCTAGTTGATTCCAGGCTTTTCAGAAATGCAGGCAGATGTTCTTTCATGCTCTTAAACAGCTGGCTTTGGCCCTTACAGGCCAGCCTTTGTACTGCAACCACTAACCTGGTCCTCTTTTTTTGACAGAATGATTTGGATGACCCTGAGAGAGGCATGATCTTTGTTTGCTCTGCTACCCACAAGACCAAGTCTATGTTTTTTTTCTTAGCTCAAACAGAGCAAGGTGATATTTTTAAGATCACCTTGGAGACTGATGAGGATATGGTAAGTCTGAGCACATTTAGTTTGAGAGAAAGAGAGACCTAAAACCACCAGGACCGTCTCATGCAGAAATGCCTTTATGCTGGTTTCAGGTCACAGAAATTCGGCTGAAGTATTTTGACACCGTTCCTGTGGCTGCAGCCATGTGTGTGCTGAAAACGGGCTTTCTTTTTGTGGCTTCTGAGTTTGGAAACCAGTAAGTAAGACCTCCAGTTTCCCTTTCAAAGCAAGAGGTGTGCCTTGAAGGACTTCTGGTTGGCATCTAGCTCTACCTTCTCCCTATCTGGGGCTCCTTCAAGCGTGAGAAGGCAATCTGCAGAGAAAGGCAATGCGGGGGGAGCCGTGCCCTTTCATCTTGTTTGACACAAAGCCCCTCTGGTTGCCTGTCCCTTCCTGCCCCTCTTCTGTTGTAGCTACCTCTACCAAATTGCCCACCTTGGAGATGATGACGATGAGCCCGAGTTCTCCTCTGCGATGCCTCTGGAGGAGGGGGACACTTTCTTCTTCCAGCCCCGGCCTCTTAAAAACCTGGTATTGGTGGATGAGCTGGACAGTCTCTCTCCAATTTTGTCTTGCCAGGTATGTTCCTCTTCCACATGGGTGGCTTTTGCAGGGGTGGGGTGCCAGCTTGTCTGCTGCTGGTAATTTGCCCCGGAGCTACTGCTCTCTTCCTTATTTAGGGGATCAAATGGTGAATCCATTTTCAAGATGAACAATTCCATATTTTATGTGTTTCTGCTGCTGTCAGGTCAGCGCTTTTCGTTAGGCCTCCAGGTGCATAAGCTGTGTGACAGTTTAGCATTTGGGTTTTGTCATCAGTGTTCATCATGCCAATACCCAACTCCCCCCTTCAGTATAAGAGTAATTTTAAAGTTCCCCATTAAAATGGTAAGATCCATTTTCTTCTTCAAAAAGGAATCACTACTTTCAGAGAAATTGTACCAGTATGACTGTTAAGGAACAATTCCCAGTGTATTCTTGTAATAACTAGCCATTTTATTTGGCAAATAAAACTATTTTCCATGAATTTCTACACATAACACTAAATATTACATACTTCACAAACAATACATCAATCAAAATATATTTAGTATCCAAGACCAAACACAAGAAAAAGCTCAGCAAGACAATAACCATAATTTTTAATAATGGTAAAAAAAATCTCCAAACAGTGCAATAACAGACAAAAAAAAAGAATTCATAAGCATCCCAAAGAGATACATCTCAGAAAAAAAACCCTCTTCCATCAACCTGCCCCAAGATCTGGGAGGAGATCAGGATGGGAGCCATTTGGATCGTGTGTGAGTGTGTGTGTGATTCCAGAGGGGAGGGCTGTGACACAGAGCTTTCCCAAGTTGTGGGCAGTAATGAGCATTCCTCGGTATGCCTGTACTTTGTGAGCTGCACCACTTGGTTGGTTTCTGCCAATTCACGATGCCAGTCACTCTCTGTGAAACTCTGCATGGCATGGAGCCTGGGCAGCTCAGTCTTGTAGGATTCGTTTGATTAAACAGGGCCATCTGCCCATGCCTTTTCTGTTATAGCACCTGCCCTCTGAAGTGAGGGTCTCTCTCAGACCTGAATGGCTCCCATCCTGCTGGTATTTTGAAGGATTTGAAGATGTTTTTCACCCAGGCTTTTGGCCAGCATGATTGAAGTCCCCTTTTAGGGGGCTACTTTGTTTTCACATTGTGTTACCTTTCCAAATCGACCTTTCTTTTTGCTTTCGTGCTGTTTTAATGTCTTGTTACCTGGGCTTGGGTGGCATACATGTAGTAGTAGTAGTAGTAGTAGTAGTAGTAGTAGTAGTAGTAGTAGGCAGTGGCTAAATAAGATACACTGATGCTATCACACATCAGTGCTAGCAGTTTGTAGGCCAGCTTGACTACCAAGTTGGCCTACAAGAAAGACCAAATGGAGACTAGAAATGGCAAGGCCAATACACGCACGCACGATCACACACAGAGCAGCAGACAAGTAGTTGAGAGCTGGCAATGACTAAGAGCAGGGAAGCTGAAGAAAGAGGCAGCACAAGACCAAGCCTTTCGAACAAAAGCACACAGAGCCAGAATTGAGCAGATAGCAGCTGACCACAAAGGCCATCTCTACAAAGCAGCTGAAGAAGCAGCAGAACATCTGGTTAGCTCTTGCAAGAAGATGGCACAGATGCCCTACAGACAATGGCATGACAAAAAGCAAGAATGGTGCATTGGAAGCTCTGCATGAAATACCATTTGCCTGCAAGCAAGAACTGGTGGGACCACAAAATAGGCGAAGTTGTAGAGAGTGAAGAATGTAAAGTGCTCTGGGACTTTAGAATTTAAACAGGCAAGCCTCTACCATACAGCAACACTTCAGACTTAGCAATTGTCAATAGGAAAGACAAAAAAGGCTGGATAGTGGACATGGTAGCACAGCAGAAGAGAAGAAGGGTGTGTGTGTGTGTGTGTGTCACAAAATACAAAGACCTGCAAACAGGAAACTTCCTTTGGCCTTCATTCACGTGAGCAAGCAAAGTATAACAAACACCTCCTGACAGAAAGAAGCCAGATACTGTGATATGTTGAAAGTCAGGATGCTTGGGCCTGCCTGCCAGACAAATGGCCTGGGGCTAATCATATTTTACAGTTAAATCCTGCTGTGTGTTGCTCATTATACTGCTAAATTCTCCAGGCTTAAGTCACGTCTACGTTCCCGTCACATCAAAGGGTGACAGCCTTTGTCTTCCTGCTTTGGGAGAGAAGCAGACCTCGGATGGGTGTTTTGGTTTCTTATTACATTTTTTGGATTTCCGTGCAGATTGCTGATCTTGCAAACGAAGATACCCCTCAGCTGTATGTGGCATGTGGAAGGGGGCCTCGTTCGTCTCTGAGGGTCCTGAGACACGGCCTGGAGGTAAGAAGCCCCATCGGACAGGCTGAACCCAAAGTTGAGAGTTAGCTGCATAGAAAGGAAGGAAGGCTTGCATCACCCTGATTCTGTTGTGTTTGCTATTGTAGCCCTTAAGGCTATTTCATTTTCACAAGTGTTCTGCGTCTTAAGTTCTTCTTCTTTGTCTTGCTAGGTGTCTGAAATGGCAGTCTCCGAGTTGCCCGGTAATCCTAATGCTGTGTGGACAGTGAGGAGACATATTGAAGGTAGGAAAAGTTGTCGTGTGTGGAGAGAACTGGGAAGACGTATGGCCCAGGTTGAGGCACCCAGACACAGCTGGCCTGCCCACAACCCACTAGTGTCGTGTCAGAACAACCTAAAGAGAGATGCAACTTTCTCCCCAATACTCTGTGTGTGGCACCACAGCGTGATCTGTGACTATTACAAGATTGGCAGGTCTAATATGGCTCCTGAAGCGCCCCTGACAGCAGGATCTGAACCGAGGGGCCTCTTCATCACTTCCCCTCCCTCCTCAGCCGCTTTGGTCCTGCCCTGCTCTCCCTGGCACTTAACTTGGAACCAAGTCACACCGCTCTGTTTATTTTATCACTTGATTCACCCATTCATCTTGGGTGTCAGTGCCAAGAATCAGAGCAGCTTGGCCAGACTGGATCAGCTCCAGAGGTTTTTTTTGTTGGCACCTGTGACTGGTTGTGTGGAAACCTTTTTTCTCAAAGCATTTTGAATGCCTTTAGTTGTGATCATAATGTGCCTCAGAGCTTGCTATTTAAATGAAGCTGCTGGGGGGGTAGATTGCCTCGTGTGAGGAGGCTGGAAAACCAGGATCTTGATAAAGCCACGTTCTGCCCTCTTTTCCCGTTGCAGTCCGAGGCATCTGTTTAATGGGACATTAGCCTGTGGTATTCAGTCAATCAAAACTGAAAATCAGTTCAAACAAGACTGAAGGACTCTTGATTGGTTGCAAGTTAGATCAGACAATAGGAGGTTGATTTACAGTGGACGGGGTTACACTCCCCCTAAAATGTTAGTCTGATGACTTCCTAGAAGTGGAACGTCCACCAGAGTTTGTCTTCATAGCTAATGTTAGTACATCAAGTGCAGATGCCAGATTTGACCAGGACGACGTAGGCCTTGATTGTATTTGGTTTGGATTACTGTGGCCTGTTTGCGTGGGGCTGTGTATGAGTGCATTTGGAACCTTAAACTATACTGTGGGGTTGTTGATGGGGAACAAACGTCTCCCTTGAATGCAACCAAAGTGATTCTGCAGGTCTGCTTCTATTTTAAAGAGCTGGATGCAAGTTTGGACCAGGCTGGTGGAATGGCTGCCGATCCTTCTACTCTGCTGCCCATGGAATCCCTTTGGTGGGCTCCCTTGAGACGAACTTGCTATGAAAGGGGGGTGGGGGGTGTTCAGCTAGCTCAGAAATATTTTATATTTCAAATAAGTCATTTAAGATCACAGGCACAGTTTTGATTCGGTGGATGGAAAGTTCTTTTATGTTGTGTATGCCTGCTGTTTCTGCAGTGTCATATGTAATGAGGCTGCATAAGTAATAGAACTAGGGGTTCGAGGATTGCTGGATGGTGACAGGCTGAATTTAGTGTGGATAGGTGGCATATAAACCACGAGCACCAGGGGAAAAAGCGATAACTCATACTGGCCAAGCCCCAGCAAAAGGTTAGCTCTGGACTACAACTCTTAATTTTGTTTTTACTGCTTTCAGAAAATGTTAGTAGTTGTGGGCGTTGAGTGCCATTGCATGAACCTTCTAGATCCACTGGGGAATTGCCATGTGGCTGGTGCCCACCATTTCAGACCAAGCACTTGCAGAGCCAATTTAGGTTGCCAGTTGTGGTAGCCAAAGAAAAGCTGCTGGGAGAGCATTGGGGCAAGAACAGCCGCTGGCATGGAGAGCCAGGAGGAGAGAGTGGAATGTGGCTTGTAAAGCAGGCAGATGAGGTGCGCAGGGAGGAAGGTTGCTATGAAGGGGGGGGGGGTCATCTGAAGTGCAAGAACAGACATGGGGAAGATACCTTAACCCTGATTGCTTGGGGGGGCGGGGGAGTTTTGTATCTAGGAGTTTTGTATAAGCTATGGTTATATTGAAATGAGAAGGTGAAGTTGGGTGGGATGGCTGAGACTCAGTGGATTAACTGCACGTAGTCAGTTCCAGCAGGATGTGTGTGTTTAATGGGATGATCTGGACTGCCCTTTTCCAAGCCACTCATGCTGACAGCCTAATGAAGACTCATTAGTCTCGACACCCACCCATCCCGTACCAGAGTTTTCCAGACAGATGCAGAGGTAGGGCAGCCAGGACGCACAGCATTACCCATTTGGGCTGTCAGAACCCCGGTTCCAGAGATTGCCAGTTGGGGGTGCCTGCATGTAAAATGGAGTTGCAGAAACAAGCTTCATCTCTGCTGACTTGCTAGCTGCCCAGGTACCTGGCAGTGCCCCTTCTTCGTCTTGCGGATGGTGGTGGAGGTGGAGTTTATTGGCCGGGTGACAGGAACTTCCATACTAAGCAAAAGGCATTTTGGTTGGTTTGTGACTCCATCGTGAACATGATCTTGCATATGTAGTTATGACTGTTAAAACATGTATGGGAGCCCACTCTTGAACTGGTTTTTATTTTACAGCAAAGGAGATATTATCTGAATATGGAAGGAACTGATAGCTGTCATTTCCAATCGATAAATCACTTTCTGGCCAAACAGTAAATCACTGCCACTCCAAATCTCTTCAAGCACCAATCTGTTAAGGCATCTGAGGGATCCCTTTGGTTTTCTCTGTGTGTTTGAAAGATGTGTAGGGCCACTCATCAAAGTGGAATTCTTGGCAGCTCTGAAGGATTTTTCCACAGCTCGGTGAGCAGTTCCATCTTATCCTGATCAATCTATGCTCGGCAGAGCTGGTTAAATGAATCTGGAAGAAAATCCCTCCTGTCTGGCATCAGCCCAGTCACCCACTCAGTTTTGCCAAGGAGTTTTGCAGCAGCTGAAGCAAAAATGGGCAGAATCGGAGGGGCTGAGACTGAGCACCCCTGCAGCCTCCCTCTAACACACACACACACACAAACACACACACACACACACACACACACACACACTGGTTGTAATGAAAGTGACACAGGCTCAGTCCATGGATTCTGACTGGCATCCATCTCTGTAGTCACTCGGAGCCGAGATGTGACTAGACTAGTTTGTAGATTTATTTGGCATAAAGTCACTTCTCTCTGCTCTGACTTAGATGCCGGTTGAATGGAACCACATGAAGGCAGCTCTGCCTTTCTCCCTGTGATTCCTTTTTGCTCTTGGGATTTGTAGCACAATCACTGCAACTGAGTAAGAACTAGAGGTACTACTCCCTTAATGACCGTTTGAAGTTATGACAGACCCCATCCCAAGTTACTTTCAACCCGTCATTGAAGCCACGATTCCTGCCTGTGCCACACACACACACACACACACACACCGCCGCAATCATGTGGTTGCCCTTTGGGCCCTTGGCAAAAGGCCCTCATCCATGACCAGGTGCATCTTCCTGCGATTGTGTGACTTGTGCCATTTTTTTGCCAGCTTCTGGCAATCTGCTTATTTGGAAGAATGGATGCACTTAATGACCACCATGACTCACTTTATAAAAATGGTTGTAAAATTGAGTCAAGTCACGTGTTGACCCGCTTAACAACTGCAATGACTTACAGTGGAAATTCCAGGTTCAGTGATGATTGTTGAGTGAGGCCTACCTGTACGCATATGAAGTTTTCCCAGGAAGATGTTGGAAATTGCTCCATCCAAGTGTTAAGTGTGGAATCAGATTTGTTGGCCCCAAAGCCTGGAGCCTATTGGCTGAGATGGAGCTTTTACTGGATCAATATTGGGTTTCTCCTAATGCTGAAATGTCTCACCCGATGGCCTGCTTAATTCTCAGTGGTTTTCCCTCTTGGCAGGTGCTGCTGACCCAGAACTGGGATGGTTGTGCTGTGGTCATGTTGTTTGCCTCTGTTTTTTTCAACTGAAGTTCTTTATTCTCTCTCTTGTGGTTTCTACACAACTCTGGACAAATGCTAACCTTGGCTGGTATGTGGTTATGATACTACCAATACCAAGCCTTCTGTTTTCTTCCACAGGTGACTGGCAGTGGAGGTGCTGATCTCCTCCCACAGGTGTGTACTTGCATCTACAGGATGTGTGGTGCTGTTTGGGTATACTTAGGGACTCCTAAGCTATTTTAATAGATAGAATATGTGTTCAATTCCATATTCCATAAAACTTTTTGATGCACCTGTATTCAGGATGGTTATCAAATCTTAAACACACCCACATTTTGGAATTCATGCACAAGATAGTGAGAGCTGTTACAGGTACTGTGGTTAGAGAACTTCTAAGCTAATACTTAGGAGGTACAACGGCATCCCCCAGCTTCCAGTTTTAGAGTTTCTCAGCTGGCAGTCCTATTGCTGAGAATTTGAGAAGTTGACATCTACCTATCTGGAGAAAGCAGGCGAGCTGGATCCAGCTCCAGCATTTCCATGGCTGCCATTGCCCCGAGCTACAAAGACCCCTCTACCGAATCATCACTATTCATGTTGTGAGCATCCTTTGATTTCCCACCTGTGTGTGCAGTTTTTCTTCACAAGAAGTCTCTTCCTGATGGCATCCTTCACAGTGAGGGCAACACTTTTATTGTTTTCATTGCGGCTACCCTCTCCCCCCTTTTAGTGAAGTCAGGTTGGGCTGCACTAGTGCTTCTACTAGGTACCTGCACATTTCCCCACTCACACTCTACCTGTTGATGAGTATCTCTGCAAATCTGTTCCTGCCTCTGGAATTGCCCCTGCTTTGCTTCAGTGAAGAGAAGCCAAAGGGCAGCCTTCAGTGGCTGCCATAGTTCAGATGTCTGTCTGTGGTGTTAACCCTGCTGTTCAGTACTTTCTGCGAAAGCACAGAATGAGAAGATTGGCTCTCATGCACCTGCCTCCCACATTTGTTCCTTTCCTTCCCACCGGTCTACTCACACGTGCTCCTGACATGGGGGCTTGGGCTGCTTGGTGATTGCTGTCTACTTAATTCCTTTCTGTTTCTGTTGTTCAATATCTGGCTTGTCTTTTGAGTGCTTTTGTGCATCAGTAGTCAGAATGGAACACAGTGAAATTTACTTTGACATCTTGCAAAACCTTTACAAGCATCTAAAGGTAGACCCATGTCACACCTATCCTCCGCGAACTGCACTGGTTACCCATTAGTCTCCGGACCCGCTTCAAGGTGCTGGTCGTTTCCTATAAAGCTCTACATGGCATCGGACCTGGGTACCTG